TTGAGCCACAGGCGCCAAGCCTAGACTCAGTTTTTAATTCAATTAAAAATTATTAAATTTCAGTTTAAAAATTCAGTCTAAAAAATAAAAATAAAGTAAAAATAAATAAAAGCAAGTAAACAGTACTGGCTTCAAAAGTGGTACAGATTACTTAAAGCTAAATTAGTACATTTCCGCCATCTAAAGTCAATCGTTGAGAATAATGCTGCTGTCCTGGGGACACGTAGAAATGCAGGCGTGCGGTTGCTGGTCGCCTTCGTAAGCCTCTTCAAGCTCCTGCATTTTTCTTAGTTTGGCGGCTCGGAGTAAAGAAACCAAGGAGTAGCGAGGCGTGTTAACAGGCTGTCTAACAACTCGTCTAACTAGCTGAGTAGGTCACACCCCCTCGCCAGCCCAGCTCCCACCCACCGGGGCCGGTGACACGTCGGGTAAGCCCCGGTTCTGAGCCTACCTGCGCGCGCCGCCACGTCCGCGCCGCCGTCCCCGCCGCCCAGCCCGGCGGCTGCGCGCAGCGCGCTCCCGCAACTCGCCGACAGGTTCCCTGAGGCCTTTCGCGCAAGGGTCAGGATGGGCATCGACCAGCCTTCGGTTGCAGTCCGCGGCTTCCCCACACTGCGCAGCTCGCCCGGGGTCGGCAGCTGGCTCCGGTCCACGATCTCAAACTCTTCTCCAGCCTCGGGCCCCGAGTCTGGCGGTCGTGCAGGCTCCCGCCCCGCCGGGCAACCGTCTCCGAGGTCGGCCATCTTGGCCGGTCACGTGACCGGCGGGCGGGCGCTCCCGCGCTCTCGCAGCTTTTCTGTTCCTACTTCTTCAGCGTGCATCTTGCTTTCTTTGGCTTAAAAAAGTTTTTTGAGAAGTTGCGAATCATAACATGGCGTATCGATCCCCTGCAGCCGGGAGGGCTTGTTTGCATGGAAATTCCCTAGAACGTACTTCCAGGACCATTGTGCACCCTCCGGGGCTCTTGTCTGTAACACCATTTACTCTTTTTTAGGTTTTTTTTTTTTTTTTGCGGTTTTGGCTGGGGCCGGGTTTGGACCCACCACCCCCAGTATATGGGGCCGGCGCCCTACTCTTTCAGCCACAGGCGCCACTCTACTTTTTTTAGTTTTCATTTCATATTTTATATTTTCCACTTCGTCATTTTTCTGCAGCACTCTTTATAATAGGCCGTAAGAGGGCGTCTAAGGAGACTTTGGGATGGGTGAGGCAGAGAAATAGGATTTATTTTTTTATGATAGCTTGTCAGGAAAGAGTACAAGGTGGTGGCCTGGGAATCAGAAGACCTGGATTCTAGTATTAATTGAAATAACAGTAGAACTGACTTCATTATTAAATAAGATTTTGCAGTAAGGACCATATACATGATTACTGGTACCCAACTGTGTAGTTTGGGTAAGTCAGTGTATGGTTTGACAACTGAAAATACAAGACTGAAGCAAAAGTCTCAGTCAGTGGAGGTTTATTAAGCCAAAGTTGAGAATGTGCCAGGAAAAGCACAAACCACAGATAATTCTGTGGTGCTTTTTCCAAAGGGGAATTTGGGAGCTTCTACTACAGCACACAGAAAGAAAAAAAAAGTACTAGGTAATGAGACAAAATGGTTACATTCTTGTGAGACCCAGGAAAATCCATATTTTATGTGGCATAAGACCAGTATGAAAAGGGAGTAAGGCAGCATCAATTATGTAGATATCCCATTGGCAGGTGGAAGAAAGTTTTTTGGGGTTTTTTTGGAGACATTTTTTCACCCTGTCACCCTTGGTAGAGTGCTGTGGAGTCAGAGTTCACAGCAACCTCAAAATCTTGGGCTCAAGCAGCTCTCTTGTCTCAGCCTCTTAAGCAGCTGGGACTGCAGGTGAGGCCACAATGCCCAGCTATTTTTAGAGATGGGGGTCTCTCTCTTGCTTAGACTGGTCTCCGACTCCAGAGCCCAAGCAGTCCACTCACCTGGTCCTCGCGGAGTGCTAGGAATACAGGTGTGAGCCACTGTACCTGGGCTGGAAGAAAGACTGATCCTCTTGTTTCTGTTCTGCCCCAGAAGATAAACCTATGATTCGTTATTAGGGTGGAATCAAACAGACTTTAGTTTTAGGAGCTAGACTTACCCTGGAGTCCTAAAATTGTAATTTGCAAATCCTTGTTTATAGGAGATGTTAGGGTGGAAACTTACTAGGTGCGGTAGGGATGGAGAAAGAATTCTTGCACAGTGATGAGGAGAGAAAGAAGTACGAAGTTTATTTTCCTGAGAAAGAGAGAAGAGGGAGAGAGGGAGTGGCCATAGTAAGAAGGATGGGTGAAAGTGCTGGGTATTTGAGGAAAAGCGGTGGTGTTGAAAGGATTTGTCTGTGTTAGTAGACAGATTGCAAAAACAGGGGGAAGCAGTTGCAGGTGTTCTTTCTGTCTTATCTGAGTCCTTGGAATCTGTTGTTGGCCAGAACCGAGACAGCTCCAGCGAGGATCTCACACCCCTATCGTCCTTTCAGGGCTCTTCAAGGTTGAGAAAATGAATTAGGCCACAAGAGTTTTGATTAAACAAAACAAAAAGAGTAGTTGTGGTCTTTTTCTCTTCAGAAGGTCAGTTATGTGCTGTGAGTTTGTTTCTCCTACCTCCTGATACCAGATTTTAGGTTCTTGGTCTGGAAGATTCAAAGAATGAATCGTGGGACCACAGGGTCAGCAGTAAGTCAGGATTTATTCAAAGCAACAAAAATTACAACAACTACAAAGAACCAAACCTTGCAGACAGAACCCAGGAGGGGAACAAGCTCTCCTGCTCCCTCTTTGAGGTCTGTTCAGATCAGTCTTTGGGCTCTCTGCTCAGGGATTTATATAGTGGCAGGGGGGGTTGTTTTGTAGGAACTCAATGTTGACTCTGAGGGCAAGGGTCCTTGTCAGTTACAGCCAGTTGTCCAATGAGCTTTCAGGCCTTGGAAACTGACATGAAATTGACCAGTCAGGAGTGCACTGGAGGAGGTAGCAAGGCCAGTTCATGAAATTGACTAGCCAGAAGTCCAGGTGGAGGAGAAGCACCTGGTTCCTCCATCCCCTGCAATATCAACAGGTCCAGGGCTAAGGTGGCAGTCATGGTGCCACCTTGTCCTGCATCACTCCTGTTTGATAGATTTTCCTCAAAGTTGCCTTTCCAGAGGCAACAGCCAGCAAGTAGTGTCCTTAATGAATGTTTTGTGAGGCCCCTCTTTGCAGGTCCCTGAGACCTTTACCTTACCTTTTAAATAAGAATTTCTGGGGGTAGGCCTGAGATTTTTATTTTCTTTGACAACTCAGACAGACTTGTTCCTCTGTTCCTCACTTGGAAATGAAGGGGATTTGACAAAATACAAAGTCAGATTTCACTAACATTTATCAAAGTGGGGCACACAGGCTGCCATCAAACCAGCAGAACTATTTTGTTTCACTCCCAGAAGGTTAAAAAAATTACTTTTGGTCAAGCTTTGTTGGGCCCTAAATCGCTGCTGAGAGACCACCATACACACATGTAAAAACAAAGAAGTGCTTTTATTTGCAAGCATATGCCTGGGTCACTCCACCCTACAGCGAAGCCCGGGAGGGGTGACACCCCCCCCCCCAAATGAAGCGAGGGGAGGTTTTTAAAAGCGTACAGAGGAATTTCATTGGGCGTTTTGTTGGGAGAGGTTGCCATTGGCTGAGCTGTTGTCCAGGGATGCATGGCACCACCTGATATACCAGAGGTGCTATAGGGTGGGTTTATGGTTAGGGACTTTCCAGAGGAGGGTTGCTTGTCCACTTCTGATAGACTGGCTCCGTCTGGGCTGATTGACCTTGCTCAGAAGTGCGGAGTGGGGGTGGGGGAGGGGGGAGCCAGTCCCCTTCAGACTGGCTGCCCAAAAGTGTGGAGGAGGGAGCCAGTCTCCTGATAGACTGATTCCTCCTGGGCGACCTTGCCCAGGAGGGGAGTGGGGAGTTAGTTCCAAGATGGGGTTACATTAACCTCTTCAGCTTCTAATTCCAGCACTTTCAGAGGCCAAGACAGGAGGATCACTTGAGGCCAGGAGTTTGTTGTGGCTTTTTTTTTTTTGAGATAGGATCTTGGGCGGTGCCTGTGTCCCAGTGAGTACCCCCATGTACCGAGGGCCCCATATACTAAGGGTGGCATGTTTGAACCCAGCCCTGGCCAAACTGCCACAAAAAAATAGCCAGGCGTTGTGGCAGGCACCTATAGTCTCAGCTTCTCGGGAGGCTGAGGCAAGAGAATCGCCTAAGCCCAAGATCTAGAGGTTGCTGTGAGCTGTGACGCTACAGCACTGTACTGATGTCAACAAACTAAGACTCTGTCTCAAAAAAAAAAAAAAAAAAGACAGGATCTTGCTGGAGTGAGTGGTGTGTTGTTAACTCACTGCTGCCTTGAATTCCTGGGTAAGCAGAGCAAACAGACTTGATAAAATTAACCTGTTGGTTTCAAAATCAAAAGATTTTACACAAGAATCTGGATTTAGCCTTTTGTTGAATCACTGAAAGATTTGGCAACTCAGTATTTTCTCTGATGGCAACAGTTGTTGGCATGGGCAATGGGTGCCCCTTTGAAGCTTAGCTGCTCCCTGGATCTCAGTCTTGGTCCAGCTCTCTTCACTAGTTTCATAATCTACCTAGTCCCTGAAGGCCAGTTCTCAGTGGAGGGGTGCTACTTCCTAAGGGAGTATTTTGGAAATTTGTGAGGATGGTATTTGGGTTACCATAATGGTTGAGGGCAATGCTACCTGTCGGCTGGTCTGGGGCAGACAAGGATGAAGATAATCTGCAGTAACAAAGAATTGCCAGGCGGTGCCTGTGGCTCAAAGGAGTAGGGCACCAGCCCCATATGCCAGAGGTGGTGTGTTCAAACCCAGCCCCAGCCAAAACAAACAAACAAACAAAAACCCCAAAGAATCGCCCTGCATCCTGCGTGACTTTCCAGGGGTCCTGGATATTTCTGCGGGCAAAAAGGTTGTTTATGATGATTGGAGCCTCGGGCTTAATTCCATTTTTCATAAAAATATAAACATTTTTGGGAATATTTTTAATATTGTATCAGGTAAGGTTATGCTTCAGTAGCAAATAACCCCCAAATCTTGGTGTCTTAACATACAAGTTTGTTTCTCATCATGCAACATGTCAATTTAGACAGAATACTCTGCTCACCTCATCATAGTTTCTTGAGACCTAAGCTGTTGGAGGCTCCATCACTTGGACCAGTTTTTCATCAAGATTAAATGCTCCAGCCCTGTAGTGGCAAACTTCACTTATACATATTTCCATGGTGAAAGCAAGTCATGGCCACGTCTAACTTCTAGGAAGTTAGGAAGTTTAGTCCTACTAACATCTGGGTAAAGACAAACTGGGAATACTGGTGAGCATATAGCTACAACAAATGTACCCTGAATTTTCCTGGAATTCAGAAAATTACATTGCCCACGCTGCTGCTTTTGGTATTTGAGTTGCCAGAGCAATACCTGAATCAGTTGACATTTGTTTTGGCTTGGGGCCTGTAGCTCAAGCAGCTAAGGCGCCAGCCACATACACCAGAGCTGGCGGGTTCGAATCCAGCCTGGGCCTGCCAAACAATAATGACAACTACAACCAAAAAGTAGCCCAGCGTTGTGGCAGGCACTTGTAGTCACAGCTACTAGGGAGGCTGAGGCAAGAGAACCACTTAAACCAGGAGTTTGAGGTTGCTGTGAGCTGTGGTGTCATTGCACTCTACCAGGGGCGACAGCTTGAGGCT